CAATGCCCAAGACGGTGGCAAGCAGAGCACCGGCTTCGGCTCTTCTCCTTGTCAATGGCGGCCCGCCGGTCCTCACTCGAAGCGCCGCCAGGGAAACGAGGTTTGGTGAATCCTCGGGCTTTCTGGGTCTCCTTCAACTTCTTCCTGGCGTCCCGGTACGTGGAATAGGCCTCGAACACGGCGTCGTCGTTGGAGGCGCCTTGGTCGGACTCGCCGTCGGTGGCGTCGTCGTCCCCGTCATCGCCCTCGTCCACAGCCAGGGCATAGTCATCGGGGATCTCCTCTTCATAGTCCTCCGGCTCGCCCTCGTCATCCAGGCCGCCGTCGCCCACGGCATGCGCATAGCCTGGTCGCTTGCCGCCTCCCTTAGCGCCCTTGCGGCTGGGGGCGCCTGGCCAGTCCCGGGTCTTCTCCTTCTCGTGCACATCGAAAAAGCTGACCCTCAGTGCCTTCTCTATCCCCTCGAGGCTGTAGTCGGACTGGTTGGCAAGCAGGATTTGCCTCCGGTCTTCGCGGCCCAAGTTGGCATTCTTAAGAAGAAAGTATGCCAACAAATCCTCCGACATGCTGACCCCTTCCGCTAAGTCCTTGAGGTCACTCCAGCTCTCCCGCCTGGCTCGCAGAAAGCTGTCGATCGACTGGCCTCGCCGGCGGTAGCTGCGGTCGAAGAACAGGTCAAAGGCCTCCGTCTTCTTTATAACGCCGACCTTCTCTATGGCCTGGAGCGCCGAGAAGATCTGCTTGTAGCCGTCGGCCCCGCGAAGCTTCTCCGGATTTGCCAGCAACTCCTGGCAGGCTTTCCAGGCCTCGCCGTGCAAGGCGTCCAGCAGCTTCTTGGCGAACCTCCCACGCTTCTTCTCCAGGGAGCGCTTCTCCTTCGCCTCGTCATCGCCACTGCCTTCCAAGGTATTGTAGGCGAAAAGAACCCTTCTGCGGTACTCCTTCATGAGCTCTGGCCGGGTCCCCGTGAAATGAGGGATCCCGTCTCGGTCCACAACGATCTCGTCATCTCGCCAGAACTGCTTGCTATCCGCCATGGCTAGCAGGAGCTAACACCGGCTCCGCTACCAGTGCGAAGCGCACTGGCAGCGTACCGCAACTCTTTTACACCGCAACATGCAAAAGTGATCTGTTTCGTGAAACTGCTTCTGTGCACTGCTGTTCCTGTGTTATCGGACATGCAGGCCGGATGCTAAATCTGCAGGCAATGCCGAAAGGCCCTGTCACCGGCTTTCGCTTCAGACCAGCGAGTCTCGAGGCGGCGAGGCAGAAGAGTGAAGGCAACATGGGCTCGCGTACACACTCGGGTTTCCCACAACACTCAAAAGAAGACCCCATTCGATCAGACTCGTGGATCCTTGAACTTAAGAGGACGCCCCGACTTTCAAACAATCTTGAACAGTCTGCCCCCAACAGTCCAATAAGTCAACAATGAGTCAAGATGCTCATCCAGCAGATGCCACACAGTACTCGATCGCTTCCTGGGTTGCTGGGGCTGGGAAGGCTTCCTCTATAGACTCTGCCTTAGGGACCTGTCCGTGACCATCAGGGAATCATCTTTAGAAGCAACACACCCATAGCCCATGCGTCGTCATCGTTCTTCGCCGGAGCACTTTTCTGGGAAGGAGGAGTCTTTGAAGAAGCCGAGCTGTAGAACGGCGATGAGGATACACAAAGTAAAGCGTCCACCATCTTTCACTCTCTTCGCAAAGCGTATGTCATCGCTGATCTAATTTTATGCCCGGGACGTGCCTAAATGCAGCCGTTTTCGCATTACAGGGGTCTTTTGCTCTGACCGCTCAGATACACCTCTCAGGGGCATGCTTATCTGGGGACTTCAAGCTGCTCGATCGTCTAGATCCACACCTTCTGGCCTTCCGGCAAACATTTGGGTACTGACAAGTCATAGCTTCTTCGCAAGTTGGTCAAGTCTCAGCATGCCTTCGGTCTTGGGCACGGCGTCCTTTAGTTTCCCGAAGACCTGGGGCGAGCTACGTGAACTCGCGAAAGCGGATGAGCTTGCCCGTTCCCTACAGGGGTGGCAGATGTTGAAACTGGGCCTGGGCAAGATCACAACAGAATTACGGCACAGAAAAATCTGAAGCCTCAACTTGCGCCTCACATGCCACTGCATCACACTGTTCTGCACAAAGCTGGCACCCGGAACTCTGATATGGGCGAGGGGCATGCTCTCCGGCTTCTTTTGGACCTCCAAGACGCTTCTCCTGAAACTTCAAAGGGACAGAGGGTGCCGAAGAAAGGTGCAACAGCAACAGCAAGCATGGCCGACTCAGGAACCCAAGAAAGCCGCACGAGCGAGCGAAACCCGTGGGCTTGACTCGGCCCAAGGTGCGGTAGTCTCCCAGCCATTCTGGACTTCCTTCACTGTGTACTCATCAAGCTCCTTAGGTGATCATGGGCCCTCGGAAGGCCTGCAACTCCTCTCCAACATCTCGTGCAGCAGAATATAGCTGCTGGAGAGGACTTCGAAAGAAGGTAGGGAAGAAGCTTGATGTTTAAACCCGAACTGCTCAAGTTGGGACCGGATCTGCCGACGGTTCCGCGCAGTCCGGAGAGCACAACCAAAGTCTGCATACCTATTTCGGATACCTTTTCGGGGAATGGTGGGATGGTCGGTCAAGCGTACAATCGAGACCTTTCAAGTCGTGACGGCACAACGCGGGACATGTATCACTCATCTGGGAGCCCCGCACGGGATGTGGGTAGTCAGTTTTCCTGTGTCCCTGATGCGGTGCTGAGTGGTGGGTGAGTCGGAACCCGAGCTGTGTTGGTGGTGCATAGCGTACTGGTGGGGGGGCCGTGGGTGAGTTGGGGTAGGTTTGGGACGAGCGCGGGGAGCGTCCAAGGTTTTGCTGGCTTCCCCTTAGATTGGCTGCAGCATGGTTTCGAGGTGGCTTGGGCATGGCTTGGAAAGCATCCGCCGAGCGCCGATGAGCACTCTGTGTATTCTTATGCCCTGCCGACTTCTGCCAGTCGCTGATGCTCCAAGCATCCAAGCTCATTCTCCCCCGGCAGCTCTTGAAGACAGCACATTGGTGGCCAAAGCACAGCAGGCTATGTCAAACTAAGAAAAATGCCAACTGAAGTTGCAGTTCTTGTGCCATACATGATGCCCCTCTGCAGCAGCAGCAGCAGCAGCAGCAGCAAGAACCTTACAACGCCTCGAGACCCAGAGACCCACCCCAATGCCACACCCGAACGCACCAGAATTTCTTTAAGTCCAGGATCGATGGCAGACAACAGCCTGGAGGCCTCTTCCATTGGAATGAAAATCAAATGCGAACCCTGCGATTACGTCAAAGAATGTGCAGCTTCGCCAGTCCATGTTCAAGGGTTTCATGCATTCGCGCTTGAGCTAGAGACTGCCATGGGCTCCACTGGCTACGCTGTTGAGGTACCACATCGGAATTGGCAGCTCCAAATCAAATCCAATAAATATGGCTTCAAGCTAAGACTTGAACCCTCGAGGAGGATTCAGACAGTGTGCGTCGTGGAAGGTGTAAGGTAACTCCTAGTTACCCGTCGCAGGGCTCGCTTTAAAGCAGTTCACCTCTTCGAGGTCAGCAGCTACTCAGCTAATTGCAAATGGCTGCCAGAACATGTGAGCTTGCTCAGGGCATGGGCCACATTCAAATTAGGCCACAGGCTGTTCTCCAAGTTCAACTATACAGCGTTTCGAGACAACGACGGAAGCTGTGTTCCAAACATGGGCTGCAGCTCCAAGGCCACATAGGTTTGACAGGAGCAGGAGCGGGGGCGGGAGCTTGAGCAGGGAGCAAGGAGCCAGGAGCAAGCAGCAGGAGCAGCAGTGGGAGTAGGAGGCGGAGCAGCAGCAACAGCAGGAGTAGTAGAAGTAGTAGTAGTAGTAGCAGCAGTAGTAATAAGGGTAGCAAGAGAACGTAGTACCAGTGGTACGAATGAGTAGGACTAGGACTAGAAGCAGGAGTCGTAGTAGTAGTAGTAATCGTAGTCGTAGTCGTAGTCGCAGTCGCAGTCGTCGTAGTCGTCGTAGTAGCTTTCAGCTTTCCACGCAGCGAAGAATCTCCGCCTAGCGACGAGTTTTAGCAGGTCTCGAGGAACCTGGTGCCATTGGCACTCAACCTTTTGTTGACTCCAACACTTGATTCACCACCGCTCCGTAGAGCCTTGACTAGCATGGTGAACGCACGTTGCCACACTGTCTCTGTGCTTCGCACGATGATAGAAAAGCACATAGCAGTCTTTGAGATGAGATTTCGGAGGAGCGGTGAACATTGAAGCCTGTTTGGCATCATCACAGTGCCAGAACTCATCCTGATGCCGTAAGGCTGTGGTGTAGTGGCCTGTGCGAGGCGACAACCCATGATGTATGATGTAAGCTCCGAGGATGTACTCTGCTTCTGTCGTGACGAGCCTGTCTGCATACTCAAAGAACGGCACTCGGATCTGGACATCAATGTGTATCTCCGTTCTCATTTTGAAGGTGTGACCTTGTTTTTGTTGAAAGCGCATAAGCTGTAAAGCGAACACATCCGGTTTCTGTATGAAGCCCAGAGTACGGTCTCTGTCTCGTCTCCAGTTATCCAAAAGATTTTGCACGCTCAACCTGGCCATCAGTCCAGGTGGTGTCTGAGGCAAACCAAGCAGGATTGTCTGAGTACCCTGCCCCTCATCTATGCTGCATGCTCTCCCCCGAGCATCCAGACATCGAGCATGCCAGATCCCCTGGAGAAGCGGCGCTTGCAAGCGAGCTAGTAGATGACCGAGAAATTCGCCAACGTCGTGTTGCCGGTGCACCTCTGCCCAACCACTGACAAGTTCTTGCCAGCTTTGGACCTGAAGAAGGTTTACAGGGTTCTCTGCACGTGTCAAATCTCTGAAGAACTCGGCACCTGTACCCATAGCTTGTGCAGTTTGTGCCATCGTCATCATCATCCATTGGAGAGCCTGCACAACCGAGTTCATATAGCACATATTGCCGTGATTGGAAAAACGGTGCCTTAGTAGCGGAGCATCTCGTGGATTTTCTGAGCAAGTGGAGCCCTGGCCAGTTTCTCCTTCCTGTAGCCCAGCCCAATCAGCTGGAAAACACAGTTCCCTTGCAGCTCCACCATCAGGTCCCACACCTCCTCCGCATGCTTGTTTCGCACTGACAGGTCCAGTTTGAACGTTTTCTTGCTCTCCATGGTCTCCGTCATACGCTGTGTGCAATGGAAACGATGTACCACATCTCTCTGGATGTGATCCACGAAGTGCTGGAGCTTGTTCGACATCTCCGTGTCTGGAACCGGTGGCCGGCTTTGGTCGTGTTCGAAAGCTTTGAGTTTGGGATTCCAAACTTGATATCTCCAGCCTCCTGTCTCCCGCCATCCCATTTCCGTCGCCCTTTTGAGCAGATCTGTGGTGTTCAGGACCTTCTGGTGTCGGTCTCGTAGCTCCCGGAACATAGCTTGGGCCATCACTTGCTGGGTATGAGCAAGCCCCCACGTGGGTTCCGCCTGCTGCCGTTTCTTGAACTCCACCGCCGTGCGGTATAGATATCCCAGGATGGAGTCCCCGCCCGGGCTGAACCAGAGGACCATTGAGGTGTCCTGCTGCAGTAGCTTTAGTTCTTCCTCCTGTCTCAGGGCCAGTTTGGCAAGGGAGTATACCAGTGGACCCCGGCCGTGGTTGGAATGGTGGTGGTGTTCTCCCCACTGATTCTGATGTTGTCCGTACTGGTACCGCCCTCGCCCCCAATGCTCGGAGGATGAGCCCGCCTCCCTGCGTCTTTTGAGGTGGTTTGCATCCATCTCCTTCTCGCGCTCCGTGTTCATTGAGCCCCGGACTGCTCCGAAGAAGTTGTCCATCTCCAGGTCGTCGGTCCCGTTCCCGAACATTTCCAGGGTCCTGTACGGCACAGAGTACCGCGCACTGCCAAGCCGTAGTGCACTTTAGAATGTGCGCTTTCCAGTCCTTGTGAGTCTCCCCACAGTAGTGGCACCGGGCACAAGCTGTAGCACTCAGTTCGACTATCCGCTGTAGCTTGGTCTGTAGTGCTGGAAAAAGCTCAGGATGCGTGTTTCTATAGTGGAGCTTCATGACCCGATGCGAGGCTACCCATTGTCCGCAAATTCCGCAGTGCTGGTGAAGTTGTTGCAGGATTTGTGGTTGTTGTATGAAGTGTCGCAGTCCCTGAGCAGCGGTCTGTTGAACCAGTAGCTGTTGAGAGAGAGGTTTATCGGAGTTATCACATTCCTCTTCATTCTCAATCTCAGCAGAAATGTCCTTTTCCTCTGTCTCCAACTCATGAACATGTTTGACACTGATAGCTTCCTCCTCGCCACACTTGGTAGTAGTGATCATCATGTGGGGGCAGGCTAAGGTATTGATGTGATGCTCCAGGGTTTGCCATCTCGAGAATTTTCGTTCACAGAATTTGCAGGCAGGAAGCCCCTGAATAGAATGACGTGCCCTATCGAAAATGCGCAATGGTTTGTGCTTCCACCCATGTGCACGTTGGGCATGTACTTTGAGCGCCGCAGCCGTGGTGAAGAAGGAATCGCATTCTGGACAAGCCCACTGCTCACCCTCCGACTCATCATCCACCGCGGTGTCCTGCTTCTTTAGCACCTCATAGCATTCATTCCGTGACACATGCGTGCCATTCCTTGGAGAGCATCCAGTCTTCTCCCGCAAGAGTGAGTTCCCGACCATGAGCCCTTTGGAGCTGCTCCAGCATAGTTGCAACTCCATGTTGATCGAAGACTTCCTGGTTCGTTCTTCCCGTCACATGTCTAGGGTCTGCTACCACAGCCCTAATATGTCTGGATGCTGTCTGCTGGATCTCGCTCAATAATTTGGGGCTCAGACAGAAACTATGGAGCCCGTACAGGAGGGTCGTCTGAACGCATGCTCGCCATACTTGCAGCCTGTAGCGAACACTCAGTTTTTTGGTATGCAGTATCGAGGCGAGTGCCCATCGTCTTTGGATCGCCTTCTGGATGCGATGTCTGGTTGACAGGGCCTCAAAACGATCATAAGAAATCACGAGTCCCAGGTACTCGGTTTGTGTGACCAGGGGCAGCCACCTGCTGGGATCTTTGGGCTGTAGCAGAAGCCGTTTGCCTTCAGCGCCTGAGCGGATATAATGTGCCTGCACTTTAGCCTTCTGAGGTCCCGTGGTCATGAGCAGGGCCTGTGTCTTCTTGGTGTTGACGATCATCCCGAAGCGCTCAAATATTTTGAGAATCCACCTCAACTCCATCACAGATTGTTCGAAGCCCTGGAACGTGTCAAAGCTCCAGCGTAAGTGTGAGTCGTCCGCATAGAGCACTGCGTGAGAGGATGTCCATCCTTCATGAAGTCTCTTGTCGATTGCCTGACAGAGTAATGCCGTAAAGACACTCCATAAGACAGGTGATGCAGGGCATCCCTGCCTCAAACCCCAATTGGGTCTGACTTCTCTGGAACCCCCTCTATGATGAAAGACATAGACGACCTGCCGGAGCCATTGGAGAATGATTTCACATGTAGAGGTCTCTACTCCTGCCATACACAGTGCATCTCGTACGTGTCCCCAGCCCACCATGTCGAAAGCAGCCGTGAGATCGAGGCTGACTTGAAGTCCTCCGAAGAATCGGTTGCTGATAACTCCCTGATGCTTGTCATGGAGATTGAAGCGAACACTTGCACATCCCCTTCGAACGTGGTCGCAGTGGGAGAAGACGGCAGCCAGGGCCGTGACTGTGCTCCGACCTGGGATATACGCTGTTTGGGGCCACTTCGCAACAATCGTGGCGATTTGTGCCTTGGCTCCAGCGATCACCGTTTTCATCAAAGCCTTGCCCACCGGGTGTTGCAGGCCAATCGGTCGCCAATCTAGCGGCGTGCTAGCATTCGGCTTACCCTTAGGAAGCAGAGCAACATCAGCCTTGGCCCAGTCCTGATGCACGTGGATGCTTGGCCGACTCCAGTCCAGGTTGACCTTCTCCACTAGTGGTTCAACGATTTGGTCCACACATGCTCGCCACACGACAGCTGGCACTGCATCAGGTGGCACCGCCTTACGTAGAGGTACGTGGTGCATTTCATGCCGAACCTGCTCCGCATCGAGGACGAAATTTGTAGATTGCCTGGGCATATCAGGAGGAGGCTGTGCATGTTTGGCTCCATATCTTTCACCAAACGCCTCGGCGATCCAATCCAGTTCCGCAGACGGAGCCATGATGATGCCGTTTTTGTAGAGCTGAACCTTCTTGAACTTGGTTCGTGGAGCTAGCCTTTTAACCACTTGCCACATGGCATGAGAGTTGCCTTTTTCAGCTGCTTCTTGAGCTTGCTGAAGTAGGTCGTCCCTCCTGGCCTTAGTTCGTTGTTTGCATCGGGTCTTGTGGATCAAGTGTGCTTTCGAGAAACGGGCCCACAAACACCAAGCTTGAAAGATGCCCTGCGCAGTGAATGTTTGCTGTTTCATTTGTCTATGGAGCTGCCACATGTGCCTCGCACTGTTCGCCAGCTCCTCTGGCTGAGTAGGTGCCGTAGTGACCTGCGGTGGTTTGCGATAATGTGTGATTGCGGCCTGCAAGACGACATGCTCTATTTGCTCAATGTCCGGCGCTGCCTTTTCCTGTACTTCTTGCCGAAAAAGCTGTAGTGCCTCAGGTGCTTCTCCTTGCTGAAGATCCTGAATGAGCCGCGCTGTGTCGATCTGAGCCGTTGGCTTCTGTGCTTGCGCGTGCCAAGTATGTGACGGTATCGGGATTTCCGCCACAACCGGGTAATGCCTCGCACCATCTCTCCATGCAGCCAGTGGGAAATCAAGTTTTGTGCCAGCCTTCTTCGCCATCGACGTGGCTGTTGATTGCCTGGTGATGACATAGTCAGTCTATCTGCGAACTGAGATTGCCAAAAGTGAAGGTGGCTTTTTGGGATCTTGGCGGAGCATGCCAAGTGTTCAATACACATAGGGACATGGCTTCACAGATGTGCATAAAGTCCATGTGATCAGCCTTGTGGTAGGCCCCGACGGGTAGGAGTTTGTCCCCACTGACCTTCGGTGTTGGAACACATGTCGTGTTCATATCACCTGCCATGGCCAAGATGTTCCGACGTGGTAGGCCTGCCAGACATCTTTGTAGTCGATGAAGTAGGGCCTGCCTTTTGTCAAGAGTGTCCATTTTCTCATTCGCTACATGTTGGTAGATGCTCACAAGGTCTATGGGGGCCCGACTTCTGTTGATCCGCACGTGTAGTATTCTACCTGCTTGCACCGCCAGGTATTGAACATCATCTCTTCGGGCACTTCTGGTGGAAACCATAGTTAGCACTCCTCCTGCCTTGTCTCCCTTGACACCCGCCGAGTGGATGTAGTGGAACTCACGGTTGCTCCAGTTGCTGTCCTCAGACCATTTGGTCTCTTGGACGTAGATGACGTCATAGCTGGAGTCTCTAGCAAAAGTTTCCAATTCCTGAAAGACTTGCTTGGTTAAGCCCCCAGCATTCCAGGTCAGCACCCGGAGTTTCTGGCCCGTCTCGGTAGGTGGTGCTTTCCATCTGGGCACATAGACAGGTGTGATCTTGGTGGGCTTAAACCAGGACTGTTCCCTCCAGCTGCCTCGGTAGATCGCTCCTCCTTGTCGAACTGCTCGAGCATGCGCTCGCCTGTAGATGCGCTTTGTGATTCGTGCCACGTTGGAAATCTGGGTTGATAAAGTAGGCATGCTGGCCTCTCGTATTCCACTTTGCTTTGCCCCCAAAGAGGCTCCAGACAGCACTGTGGACGTACTGTCAACCCTCGCATCTGTGTTCACAGAAATGGTGGATCTGGTACATGCTAAGAGAAGCACCATCATAAATTTGGTGTAATAGCAGTATGGCCTGTGAACACCGCCGGACTTGGGACCGGCGCAGCTGAGAACTTGTCCCGATCGAGGAGTAGGTCTCGTACCTGATCGATTGGTCGAGCGTTGTTGGAAAATGTCTGTCACCCATATACAGAAGATCATAAGGTAGCAGACTGCCTGATGGATGGCGAGGATCATGTTGCATAGTAGGTGTCGCCTGCCAATGGTGCTGCATGCTGTCTTCTGTGGGAGAATAAAGCAACTGCCCTGTAAGTCACCCGCCGGCGGCTCAGAGAAGAACTGCTTGATGTACCTGTGCAAATGGTCAATGTAGGTCAGCTTAGTCGTCCCACTGCATTTGTCTCGATACAGATTCTCTGTCGCAAGCATGTGTCTTCTTTTGTCCGACAGGTCAGCATGTTGTCCCGATTGGCCATTCATCTCCCGGCATTGCCCAGGGCTTTTGGTCATCTCAACCCTATTGGCACTGCTACCACTACTCAGTCTATTCAGAGCGGCGCTGCCTAGGTGAGGTTTCTCGGGAGGGGTACATTCAATGAGAAAATGTTGCTCAACAAGATGACTGTGGATCAAATGAGGTCCGTACTTGCGGTTCGCCTGCTGCTGTGCCTCGCCGGAGGATGCCTGGCCTGTCGACTGGCGCTTACGCCTCCACGGCGCATTGACCACTGCCTTCGAGGTTGGCCGCAGTGGCGGGGTGTTCGGCGAAACAGCAATGGCCTGTCTGGCTCCGCTTGATGCCGTGCCAGAGGGAGCCCCCGCCGTGTCCGGAACCTTGTCATCATCAGCATCGGCCTTGTTTGTGCCGGCAGCCATGTGGGTCTGGGGCACGTTTGACCCGATCTGTGTGGTCTCCTCGTTCGTCATCTTGCTCCGGCCCTCCTTTTTCATCGTCTTGATGATCGCCCTGGCCTGCCGACCTGCCGAGGTGGACTCCTTTGCAAGCCTGTGCAGCTTCTCAGGTTCGTCTCCTCGTCCAGCTCATCCGCCTCATCTTCGGTGACATTAGACACCAGGAGGTTGGGGTGCAGCTTGAAGTCTCCCCTCAGAGGCTCGATCCGAACCAGCATCTCCCCCATTGACTTGTAGTCAAAAGGCACAAGAAGCAGCATCTCATTCACCGTCGTGCCAGGGCTCCTGCCGCCTTCAGGGCAATGCCCTGCACCGTCTGAACACTCTGGGGTGGCGGTGGTCCCCTCGGTTCCGGCGTTCCGCCCGGAGTTGTGGGTGCTGCCATATCTGCCGGTAGGCCTTCTGCTTCATCGATATCCGCAGACTCCACGTCCCAGTTCTCCACCGCCTCTGTGTCCGTAAGGATCCCAGGCTCGCCTTCATTCTCCGTCGTGGCTGCTCGGTGGATTCCATGGTCAGCCCCTGACATGTTTTGCGACCTGTCGGTGTTCCTGCCGCAACGATTGGCACTCCTTCGAGCCGAATCTTCGAGGCATCTCCGTAGTAGCTCAGCTGTGCATGTTCGCATGTGAGCTTGGACAAACTCTGCCGACTCTGCCGACTGACTGCTACGCGTGCAGAACATGTGCAACAGGACTCGCGAGGGGCACATGTGGTATGCCCTGGCTCCACAGAAGAGGTCCCAGCAGAACCTGTAGACAGATCGCACCCTGGTCTTGCTAGTCTTCTTACGTAGTCTTCGGCGCCTTGTCCTCGCCTTCGGGAAGCGAAACCGCCATCGGCGACCAGTGCGGCCCAGGCAGAGCCTTCCCTTGAGAGGCCTATCGCTGGGAACTTTAATCCATACTATGGAGGTCCAGTGATCGCGGGGTTGATGGTTCACCTGTCGGCCAGAAACAGTGTAGCCAGCTGGGAAAATGTAGTCGTACCCATTTATAGAGTTCATGCTCGTTCGGGGGGAAGGGCGATTGCCTAGCAGCTTGCAGCGTTCTGCCTGGGTGTGAAGCGTCCGTCCATACCATGTCCCAGTTGTTAAAGAAACTGATATTGCTGATGTAGCCTCCTTGATCCCTTGCAGTCCGCAGCATAAGCTGTCCCAGTGCAACATTGAATTGTGCCCTTTGCCTCGGCCTTGCAAACAGCTCTCGAGCATAGGTGGCATCCCCGGCCACCGTGATCTTGTTATGATTCGGTATCCAGTCGTCTGAGCAGTTGGCTGCGTTGGATGACATACCTCCGTCGCCAAGCCACTTCGCCATAGAGTAAGCAGCAGAAGTTTGAGCATGGAGCACAAACCTCGACTTTGAGATGCACGACCGCTACAATCACAGACATGCTGTGGGGCACATGACAGAAAACGGAGAACAACCGGCCTGGCTGCCTGGTGACTGGCTTAACCGGGGCATTCATTGGTCTCTTCGTGCTTCTTCCATGCACTCGGCCGCCACCAGGAACTGACGAAATGCACCGTTGCAGGCTAGGTTGTTCAGTATCGTCGCATCGAAAGCCTTTGATGGGTATCATGATACTGCTGCCGGCACACGCGACACAAACCTTCCAGGCATGAGGCCTTGAACCTGTACGACATGTCAACGAAGCTCGGGCAGCCCATGAATTTTTCAAGCGATCAGCCATGGCTTGCTTGGCCAATTATGAAATTCTTTTCCCTCGCTGTCAAACCAAGGGCTCCGGTGGATAGTGCGTATGATCCAATGCAAGGTGAATCTTGTTGCACCCCGCCTCGGCTCGCATGCCCTCCTATCTACAGGCGTGCGAGCCGCATGAAGAAATTCGGCAACACTCAGCCATCTGCCCCGATGCAGTCACGACATGGGTGGTATGTTCTGATCTGCGAATTGCGAATGTGGCCGCATCCGGGGAGATGGAATCGTGTTCCCCTACTTGTCGCTACGTGCACCGTTTCTGGTGCTCGCCGGGCCCTCAGCCTTTCAAAGGCTTCTCGCTGCCTTCGGATCTCGCCTCTAAGCTCTGCCAGCTCGCGCCAGCAATCTTCTTCACTTCTGCATTTCTCGGCGTAGAGGGCTTCAAGCTTTGTACAACGCCTCACATACTCCTCCGAAAACAACCTCTCCTCTTTGCTCATGCCCCGGTTGGCCTGAACTGCTTGCGTTCGCTGCTGGTCCCGCTCCTCTTCATCCGGCTCCGTCTGGGTGCCGGTGGTGGCCGTTCCTCTGCTCCGGAAAATAAGCCCAAAGCTCCACTTAAGTAGCTTGTAGGCGGCATACGGTATGCCCCAGAAAACTCCAACCACCACTGCACCAATCGCCAACGTAACCATCAGCTGCGCCAACTCATCATCCGTAAAGCTGGCTCCTGCTAGGCCCAAGCCCTCGGCTCCCGGGACCTGGCTCAGCATCAGCACTAAGGGGATGAGCGCTTTCACGTTGCTGACACGGGCACCGCTGTCACTGAAGGCTTTGAGAGCCTTGCTGAAAGCCCGCTTTTCATCCGCTGCCTCCTTGTCGCTTTTCCCGTAGGGCTCGCCGCTCGGCTCAACGGCTTTCATGGTGTAGAGCAGCTCTCTGATCCTGCTTCCACACAGGGGCTTGGTCCCCAAGTCAGCGGGGTTGAGAGCCCCCGCGATGGGGCTAACGCACAGCTCCTGGGCCTTCACTGAGGCCTGGATCCAAAGCCAGCCGGCATGCAAATGCCGAACGCGCCCACAGCCAAGGCGCTGCGTGATAGCGCGCGCCGATGCGCTGTCGCTGCGGCAAACCACATGGACCTCAAACTCGTCCCTGCCCAAGAAAGCCATGCAATCCCGCAGGTAGAGGACCTCGCAGGCACCCCCGAGGATCGCAAGGAACTCGCTCTCGGCCGAGCTCAGGGCTATGGACCTTTGGGTCCGAACGGCGGATCCGATCAAGGAGCCACCGGCACAGAACTGCATCGAGCTCCGGCTCCTCCTTGTCCGCTTGCATCCGCCCCAGTCGGCGTCTGTGATGCTCTCCAGCACCACTTTGAACGGCCCGCCTTTCTCGCACAAGAGCTCCCCGCCTGCGTAGGAAAAGGAGCTTCCATTCCTCAGCGGGTGGATTGTGAAGCCAATTTCTGGCGTTGCCACCAAATACCCCACAACACGGTAGAGCCACTTCATTGCCAAGGCCGTGGGCAGCTCATCTTTGAGCTCAGGATGCACACAGCATACTGCACATCTGGCCGGGAATGGGCCAGGTACAAGAGCCTCCCAACCGACTCTTTGTAGACCTTTGCTTCGGCTGGCCCCAGCTCCTTGCTCGCGTCTTGCTCCAGAAACGAGTTGTCAACCGGGCTGTCGCGAGGCTTGACCTTGGACCCGAGGCTCTTCTCGAGGGACGCCAGGTACTTGGGGTTCGAGTACACAGCCACACCCTCAGGCGTCTTCACGTACTTGCGCTTTAGGAACTCAGTGGTGTCCCCGTCCTCCACCAAAGGGTCGCTCACCTGCAGAGTCACAGCCGACCCGAACTTCTCCTGGAACTCCTGTCGCCCCTTTGCTGTTGATGCAAGAAGCCCGTCGTCGGCGTGGAGGATCATTGCAGTGTCGCTGCCCTCCTTGGTGCTCCTAAAGAGAGTGGGCTCTTTGGTGTACCCCTCCAGGCTGGCTTGCTCCAACTTGTCCTTTGCGAACCCATACCAGGCGGCAGCTCCGATCCTTTGGCCGGGAAGAAGCCGGTCCAAAACCAGTGTCACTGTTCCCGGCTCGCTGTTCCCAAACATGGCCTTCTCCACTTCTATCGTGACTGGGCTCGGCTGCGGCACGTTGAGATACGCATCCTTCACGTCGACCGTGGTCAGCTGGAGGTTCTTCGAGAGAGCCCAGGATATGAATCCATGCACCGTCGCCAAAGTGGAGGCAGGTGCGAAGAGCTCCTGGGTGTACGCGGCCATTGTTCTGAACTCTCGGCCGACCAAACGGCTGCGCCGAACCCAGCCAGGGCGCTTGCGCCAGTCGCGCACGACCTTTGTTGTCAAGGTCTGGTAGCCGGACACATCTTCGCCTTCACGTGGCCAACGGGCCACACCCATCTGGATTAGGCGAGTGATCTCCTTCTGGTCGGCCTCGGCATCAACGGTCCTGAGGTCGTCTTCCGACAGCACCGGCGGCGACTCTCCTTCTTCATCCCACCAGGGCTCGCTGTACTCGCCGGCAAGCTCGCTTTCCTCCACCATGGTGTCGATCACTTCGTCGCCCCAAGCGCCAAAATCCGAGAGCTCCTCTGGAAGGATGTCGCCATGGACCATGTTGATGCCGGCCCGGCTCACACCTGCATAAGCCGGAGGGTATATAGAGAGCTAGGTGTAGATGCCGCCGGCGAACCAGTTGCTCCACCAGGTCTGTCAAGCAAAAGGCGCGGCCTCTTCGGAGTAGTGGCCTCTGGTTGTGGTGCCTCACGTGCCACAGGTGGTCTGCTAACATCTGACATAGCAACGGGACCCGATGGATGCGACTGTCCTGCCGATTCTTGTTGTGTGTTCGGCTGCTGCTGCTGCTCTCGTCTCGGCTCTGACCTGGGACCCGATGGATGCGACTGTCCTGTCGATTCTTGCTGTGTGTTCGGTTGCTGCTGCCGCTGCTCGCTCTGTCCTGCTTCTGCTGGTTCCCCGCTCGCTCTTGTGGGTCCTAAGCTCCCTTGGCTGGATCCCGAACTGGAACTTGAGGAAGGAGGCGAGTCGGACCCCGCCTCGCTCCGGCCTGGCACCGGAGTGCCAGCAGCTGGGATTGGAGTGGCTGCTGCAATGCTTTCTGCAGCTGCTTTGCCGGCTGCTTTTGCTATCTCCTCCAAGGTGGCACTGTCAGGTAGCAGCGGCACACGGGTGCCCAAGGAAGAATAAAGAGGTCTCTTCCTTCGGGCCGTTCCCATGTAGGACCACGGGAGGCCCTTCATTGAGAGGACCATTTCGGCATCCCACTGCTCCGGCTCCGGCAGGCGCCGAATACTTCTTGACTCGGTGACTCCCGCCGTGGTCCCCAGGATGCGCGAGCCATTCCTTTCGTTGATCCCAAGCCAAATTCCTCTCTCCCACTGGACGTCTGCCTTGTGCTTGCTGCCCTTGTAGAAGATGCACTTCTCGCCGAAGGGGAGGAGCTTCCCACGGTAGCGCCTTCCGAACATGATTTCGAACGGGGGAGATCCACGGCCACCATTGGCGAACCGGTGGAGGAAGGCCGCGTGGCGGTTAACCCACGCAAAGATGTGGTTGTGGCCTTCGATCTTTGCTTTGATCCGCCCTTCCAGGTGGCATCGCAGGGTCAGGCCCGAACGCCTGATAGTGTCGATGGCCTTCTCGACCCGTCCGTTGCTAGCGTGGCTGCCCTTCTCAATGAGCTGCGTGTTGGTCACCAGCCCAAGCCTTGCCCTGCATGACTTCACTGCGCCAAGGGCCTGCTTCACAGCCGGCTCGGGGTCACCCTGAACGGTGACCGGCTCGCTGGGGCTGATCTGGAGACTCAGCCTGGTGAGGTTCTCGGTCACCCTCTTCAAAGAACCGGCCCCCTTCTCCAGAATGGGGAGCGCTACGATCCAGCCCGTGGTGCTCTCCGCAGCAAACAAGGTGAGGCCAAACTGGTCGCGGTAGTCAATGGGCTGGGTCCCGGCTGCTGCGTCATTGGGCTCATTTCCGTCTCCACCTCCTTGTCCCCCTCCTGCACCTCGTGCTTTTGCTTCGTAAAGCCATAGCCGTAGTCGATCTGGATCACCGGGTCGGGCTGGTGCTGCTCACCTCCTGCTCATCGCCCGGCTGGGCCCGATGTGGGCTTTGCCGGCTTCGCCCCAGAACGCAAGCCTCACACCACGGCTGAAAAGGCTGGTGTGTAATATTGTGCAGCTCCTGTTGCCTGGCCGAAGGAAGCACCGGCACCTTTGGCATGTCGGGCTCGCGGTTCTGCTCGAGGAACATCTTCCTGGCAACCTCCGCCGTCATGCGCTGCTCCAAGACCTCCCTCTGCATTCGCAGCCTCCTTAGGACCTTGTCCTTGCCACCGCTTCGGGACAGGCCCAGCTTGTCACACAGGCCGCGCAAGGTCTTCAAGGGAGTCTCCACGCTGAGCGCCACGCCCTCGAGCTCCTCGTCGCCATTGGCCGGGGCGTCCTCGACCGGCCTGCCGTCAACCGCCATGGCTTCAAGGTCTCCAACCTCAAGGCCCGCACCGGCCCCCTCATCGTCAGTGCCCCGCTCTGCCGGGACAACCGGGGCCTCATCATCATTGGGGCCTTCCGGGAAAACGTCCGCCGGCTTGCTCAGGATGTCCTTCGGGAGGCGGTCGACGTGGAACAGCGTGATGGTGTCCCGGGCCCCATCTAGGTCGCCAGCTCGGCAATCGTCTTCACCACCTGCTCGTAATCCTCAGTGGGCATAGTCAGCGCCTGGGTCCACACATCTCCCTTTTCTGGCACTCGGGTCGCCGACTCCACGCGCACAAAGACTGCCACCCACGTCCAGTCCTCCATGTCCCAGAGGTTCTGCTCCAGGTCAAGCTCTGTGACGCGGTGTGCCACCAAGGCTGGCAGCCCATTTCCCAGGATGTGCCAGCGCCAGGACGTGCAGCCACTTCTTCAAGAGGTTCCGGGAGCCGACCCAAGTCATCGAAACTGCTAAAGGCCCGGACCCCCGCAGGAGGGGCTGCTGAAGAAATGGCCGAGACCATGGCCGTGATCATCAGGGTGTTCCTCCTCAAACGTATTCCCACACGGTGCTCGCCCTTTTCCATGGTTGGCTTTCCGTCGTGGGACCCCAGAGTCCACCCCCATCTCAGCAACCTCCCCAAGCTGAGGATCACACTCTCAACTTTTGCAATGGCGAACTTCTCCCTGATCACCACCTCCTCGCCGTCCAAAGTGGGGACCGTCACATGGATCACCCGGCTGCCGAGCTCGTGGATCCTCTTGCCCTGGGCGTCCTGCATAACGACGCCGGTGGCCTTTGCGCTCTGGCCCACCGAGTTCAGCCTGACAGGGGCAACTGAAATGTTGGCGCCCGTTGTCATAGCACACACACACACGGGCCACGATCTCCTCCTCACTGGTCGCTTCGGCGGCCTCACGAGAGAGCGCCGCCAGGCCGGGCACCAGGGTCCAATCGTCATCGTCATCGGTGGCGTCCATCTTGTACACCGGCGCTCTGGTCTCCGGCTCCTCGCTCGAAGCCGGTTCGCGGCCACCCTCGTCGAAGTCAAGGACCTCAAGCTCACTCAGGTGGCCGTCGTCTGAGTAGAAGTCGAGCTCCTCGATCCTCAGGACCCCGTTGCCCTCAAGCGAGAACTCCCCCTCCTCATCAAGCTCCGTTATGTCGAAGACTTCGGTCACGCGGCAACCCGGAAGAGTCGAGACAAAGGCCTCCACCAAGTTGACCGTGGCAGCCGTGCCCCGATAAGTCGAGGCAGAAGACGGAAGCGTAGTCGAGGCAGACGACGGGGTAACTGAGGCAGCTGAGGAAGGAACCTGTTCCACTTGCTGGACCTTCCCCTTCGGGCCCTTCGCTCCTTTGCCCTTTGCTGCCAAAGGACACTCCCACTTCCAGTGCCCACGTTGCCCACAAATGCGGCAGCCTTCGGGGTCACTCCAGCCGGCACTCGCCCACTGGTTCCATCGAGGCTGCCCGCCACCATAGCCTTTCCCATCTTTTGCTTTGCCGCCTTTGCCCTTGCCATCCTTCGTCTTGCCCTTTCCGTCTTTGCTCTTGCCCTTGCCATCTTTGGTCTTGCCCTTGCCGTCCTTGGTCTTGCCTTTGCCGTCCTTCGCCTTGCCCTTGCCATAGCCGTAGCTGCCCCATATGCGGTCCACCTCCATCGGCTGCTGACCCCCATCGTCATATTGGCGTCCTCCACCACCACCTTTTGGCTGCCCTGGGGCTGCCGTCCCCCACGGCGTATTCAACGATTCGTACTGGAGGATCCATTCCCTCAGCTCGCTATAGGCCGTAGATGGCCCCATCCTCAGCTGAACCTGGGACCTAAGTGGTTCTCTTAGTCCCGTCAGCACCGTCGCCAGCACAAGGTCCTTCGGGAACTCCTTGCCGGACGCCGTCTCGTAGGCACGGAGCGCCTCCTCGTACTGTATGAGCTTCTCGTGCAGCCCACCTGGCCCATCGAACCTCCAGCTGGCAAGTTGCCGGAGGAGTGCCAACGAGCGGGCCTTCTCGCGAGGCTCCATCTCGGCCCTTAGCACCCGCACCGCCTCGTAGCCGGACTTGGTCTTCTCCAGCCCGCGCACAAGGAGCAAAGGCCTCCCCGTGAGGAGGCTGCACAGCAACCCATAGAGCTTCTGGCTCCTTTGCACCATCTCGTCCGGCAAGAGGGCGTGGTCCACCTCCGTGTCCTGGTCGATATTCTTCAGGTCGTCCTCGTAGGCGGCGTCGTTCGCAATCAAATAATTGCTCAAGCCAAACCACCACTCACGCCACGTCCTGAGTTCCTCCTCGCGGTTCTGCGGCTTCCAAGTGTCCACCTTGAGGCTCCTGATCAAATTGTCAGTCTTTTGCGTTCCTGCTTGCTGCTCGGCTGCCTTTGCCGCACGTTCGGAAGACTCAATCAGCTTCCCAAACACACTCGAAAAAGCCTGGTCCAGCCTCTGCTTGACAATCTTGTCCACAAACTGCTCCGCCTGTTGCTGCTGGCTCGGCTGCCCAGCACCACTTGCTGGAGCCTGGCCCGGTGCAGCTGCTTGCTGCTGTTGCTGCCCATCTGGCAGCCCACTTCCATCACCACCATTTGCCTGCATTGCTCCACTTTCCAAGAAGCCAGCACCCAGTGAAAACCCGGCGCCAGCAATCTCCTCTGCCCAGCCTCTTCTCTCAAAGGCCCTCTGCTCTCTGCTCCTCTGCTCCTCCTCCACACCAAAATGAAAAAGATATTCCGGAGCCGCCCCTCCACCACGGGGTCTTACGCTAAATAGGGATTGGCCGTCGGCCCAGCTAAAGGCAGCGACGGCTGCACTCTGGCAGATCGAACTGCAGCAGAGGAGAAAACAAAGAGCTATTATGCGGTGAAACCGGGAGGGCCCAAAGGCTTGGGGGATGGTAGTTACCTCCTACCGGAAGACCCGGTCGCCTAGAGCGGACCGGGCTCCGCTACCATGAAATTCTTTTCCCTCGCTGTCAAACCAAGGGCTCCGGTGGATAGTGCGTATGATCCAATGCAAGGTGAATCTTGTTGCAAATTATGCAGGTCCTAAGCACTCCGCTGCAAAACAAGACGTCCTCTGCCAAGGACTTGAATTAAGAGTAGTAGTAGTAGTAGTAGTA